AGTGGGGGATGCAGGCAAGCCCGGTTTTCTGCTGGGGGGTCTGAGGGGCCAAACCCCCATCGCAGCCTCCCCGCTGCCCCCCCCAGCTCTATATTTAAAAAATCGAGTTGCCATGGCTACGCGGAGCCGCGCTTGGTGCCGCAGGGAGGGCGCAGAAAGCAACGGGGACCCCACGGCCCCCCTGCCCCAGGCCTGGCTTCCCTTTCCAGGGGTAAATCCGGTATAAACCCCCCCAAACTGCCTCGGTGCTGAGCTTAACTCTTCCTCTCCCATTTGCCAGGGCTCGGTCCAGGCGAGACACAGGCGCCGTTACGCTGCAGAAAACACACATTAACTTTATTATGGCTGCCGCAGAGGAGGCACGAGAGCGGGTTCGTGTGCAGGGGCTGGGGGTGCAAACCCACCCCCCCAGGGGTCTTCCTTGGAAACGAAGCCGCCGTCTCATCCAGGTTCGTCCCCGAGGAGGGTCCGACTTCAGCTTGGGGCACAGGGAGGGCACCTCGTCCCCGAAACGGGGTGACCCGCCATTGCTGCTCAGCACGCCGGGGGCCGGGGGCCACGCAGGCTGCAGCCCCGCATCTCCCTGGCCAGCCGCAGCACGGCAGTGGGACCGCTGTCCCCCCGGGGTGCCCCGGTACTGAAGGCCTCCTCCTCCTCCTCCTCCAGGATGGAGCTGAGGCGGGGAGCGCAGCGGGCCCTCTCAGCGGGCGGGCGGTAGGGACACTTGGCGTTGAGCAGCCGGCGGAGGGGCACCAAGGGGACGATGGCGTCGCCCAGGAGCTGCTGCTGGACGTGGCGGAAATCGTTCTGCCTTTTGAGGCGCTTGAACTCGTTGAAGGCGGAGGCAGAGGTCTGGTAGAGGAGCAGGGCCATGGCGCGCGCCTTGTCGGCTTTGGAGACCAGGACGGCGTGGCAGCGCAGCACCACCGCCTTGTTCTTCACCTGGTGCCGGTAAACCCAGGCGAAAACCTTGGGGTGCCGGCGGTCGGCGGCACAGTAGGTGATGCGGTGCAGGAGGTACGCGTGGCCCGGCCGGCGGGCTCCCTTCTCGCAGGGGGTCATACGGATGCCTTGGGGTCCCAACGTCAGCTTCATCTTGGCCCCGCCGGCCCCCGCGTCGCTCTTAGCCCAGATCTTGCCCACCGCCTCCTCCGTGCAGCCCTCGCCCTTGGCGTGCAGGGTGACGGCGTTGCCCAGGTACCGCACCGTGTACGTCGGGTCCTCCTTGTTCAGCTCCACTTTCTGGCGTTTGCCACGGAAGACGCTGCCCAGCCGCTCGAGCGGGCAGTCGGGCAGGAGGTCGGGGCAGGAGCGCAGGAAGCCGGCCAGCAACGCCGCGTAGCTCAGCCCCGGCCCCAGGCTCTTGCTTTTGCACTTACGTTCGTTTTCTACCAGCACGAACTTGCTCCGGCGCCAGGGCAGCATCTCTGCTCCGCCGAGGGGCCCCCCCGGCCGCCCCGCACGCCTCCGCTAATCCCGGCCCTGCCGCGACGGCCCCCGCCGACCCCCTTGCGAGCAGAAGGACCCCCGCCCCGGACCCCAAAGCTGGCCGGGG